GGCTCGGCAACACAACTAAGATATCAGCAAAAGGTAAATAAGATACCTATTTTGTGGGGTTGTTTGCATCAAAAAAAGAAAGACAGAGAGAAAGAGAGAGAAAGAGAGAGAGAGGGATACAGGAGAACGGCCAGGGACAATACAATCCTCAACCAAACCCAATTCATCCCTATCATCTTCATGTCATTCAGCACCATCATCTTCAATCATTCAACACCATCATCTTGAGCCATTGTCATCTTCATGTCATTCAGCACCATCATCTTCAATCGTTATCATCTTCAAGTCATTCAGCACCAACATCTTCAGCATTTACGGCTGTGAGGGTTTCAGGGCTTAGGGCTTTAGGGGCTTTTAGGGTTTTTGGGAATTCAGGGCTTTAGGGTTCAGGTCTTTAGGGGTTTAGTTCTTCAGGGGGATAGGGGTTTGATGCCCAAATCCCGGAAGTCCAAGCACCCAGGTCTTAAGCCCTGAATCCAAACACCCCAACCCGATATTGTAGTTACCAAAGCCTCTAAGTCTAGATTATGTGCCTCGGGTTATGAAGAGGTTTAACTTAGTTCTGAGTTCCGGGCTTCCGGTCTTAAAGCCGGAAAGGCCCCGAAGACCTGCCCCCTTAAAGCCCTAAAGCTCAAAAACCTAATGAGCCCCTAAACACCCTAAGCCCCTAAAGCCTCAAGGGCCCTACAGTTGTCTTATGGTGCTGCTGACACATCCATCCATAGATGCTCTATGACAATACAAACATGGGATGCTGATGATTAGCATAATGTTGTGATAGTTTATGATGTTGCTGCAGGTTCTGGAGATAATGGTGCCAATGATATCGATGGCGATGATTGTTACGACGATAGTTCTGTGTGATGAACAATGATGGTGATGATGGCCATGAACATAGGGACGATGGTGAGTATGGTGATGCTGTCACATGCAGGATGATACTGATTAACACTTGTGGCGCTGGTGCTAAGTATGTTGATGAACATGCATGATGGTAGATCACAGGTGATGATACATTGGAAATAAACTACCCCAAGGATCCCAAACCCAGATAATTGCATACTCCCGAAGACCTCTTCTGCAAGCCTTCAAATAAATAAAGGGCAATAGGCCGTTGGCCTCGAGGGCTGCCGGGAAAAGTGTCTTTCAATCTTCGGAATCTTGAATGGGCGGTCTTAGGGTCGAGCCTTTGGACTGCAGACTTCAGACTTCAGGTTGTTCAGATTAAGTTTTCGGGTATCCGGGGAGTAACGATAGATTTGGACTTTAGCGCTCAGATTCATTAATTATGGTATCCGATTTTCAGCTAAGATTCCCTTCCCAGGCCTGAAATATGAAGCACTTCTCAGACCCGAAGTATCAGCCAACACTGCACTTCCCAGACCCGATAACCACTTTTGAAGCCCACTAAATACCGTAATCATCAGACTTCCGAGGCTCAACCCCAGCCCCCAAGCAAGCTTCCCAGGCAGCAGCTGGCTATTGGACGTTAGCCCTTAAACCCGAAACCCAGAAATTTCCCAACACATAATAACAATACTAATTTGCCACCCAAACCCTGAACCCTAATACCTTAAGATCACCAGGCAGTCCTGGCATGCCTACAGCAGGCTGTGGACCTAAGGCCCCTAAACCCAACCCAATCAAATTCGACCCTAAAGCCCTAATATGTAAGAGCTGAGCCGCCCCACCAGGCGTTCAAGATCGGTGCCCGAACAGCTCAAAACCCTAATCACCCCAAAGGCCCTGTTTGAGGTCTAGGGTTTAGGTTAGGGTCTGGGGCAGTCCTCAGTCTTGCTGTAGCACACAGCGAGACTGCTAGACTGTAGGACTGTAAGCAACGTTCGGGGCCATTCTCCGCACTTCGTCGGTGCCGCTGCTCTGCTGCAGTGCCGAGCGCTCACAGTCACAGGCCAGGCCTCAGTCGGATTAAGCACTCAATAAGGGTTCAAGGTTTAGGGGTGTTTAGGTTTTTTGGAGGTGTCTCGAAAACCATGGATTGCCCCACCCTTGGACGAAAGCTGCTGAACACTTGCTGGCAGGGACTTGCCAGCTTTGGGTCGCAACAGCACCACTGAATCCTCAGTGAGCTTGTAAGCATAAACAGCACCTTCCACGTTGGAGATCAGCTCGGAAGCCTCCCGCCCTGTCTTGAAAAATCCAGGAATCTGCAAGCGAGTGAGGATGGTCCAGGCATGGAAGCGGAACAACCCGGAGTGCCATCCAGCACAGTTCTTGCTCATGCACAAGGACATGCAGTCGATCCCACCGGGGGGCCACCCGTGACACCACGCTATCTCCAGCCAGGTGTGCCAAAACGCCAGTGGGAGCGAGTGTGGTTCGACCAATGTATGCGCCCAAATTTCTGTGAAGGACTGCAAGACCGAGGCACTGTCTGCACCAGAAACACATACGATGTGTTTAATGACTATGAAGCTGGAAGTGCAACCTGCATGGAGAAAGCAGAGTCGGTCCGAGCCTCAGGATTGGTTTGAATAGGCTAGGGTAGCGCCCAAAATCGGTATCTTACTTACCTTTTGCTGATATCTTAGTTGTGCTGCCGACCCCTTTTGTATGATATCGTAGGATTTGCGGTACCGGGAGTGACTCGCGGCAAATGACTGAGCGAGGGAGAGCGTGGCACATACGACATCATACGACGGACATGCGACGAGCCAATGAAAAGCTGTCGCACACTCGGGAAACCGTCAACCCTTCCAAACGCTTTGGCACGGCTGTGGCAGGGAATAACAACACAACAAACATTAACACAGCATGTCATGCTTTTTGCAACACCTTGGAACCGACTCCGGTCGTGCATGCACCCTGCCTGCAAGTCAACGGCTGTCATCATGAGATCGAGCTGCCGCTGTGCATTGCTCTTGTGGTTGGCTTCGTTGGCCACCCTCTTCCACTCTTCGGCATTCTCTTCCTTCTCGTCTGCTTCGGCTGCGAATCACGTTGCAGAGCGATGTCGGCTCGTAGCCGGTTTGCTTTTATTGGTCTTCCAAGCGGCTTCGATTTCCAGAGCTTGCCTCTCCTGCGCCAACTCACTGCAATAAGCCAGGCGCAGGACGAGGCTTGAATCGAACTCAAATTCGAAAAGCATTCTGCGCTTAGCTCGCAGCCTGTTCCTGGCGCACCGCACCCTGCCATGCTTGCAGTCTGAGTTGTCCGTCCGTTGCACCATCACATCCCTGCCGGCTGTTGGATCATTGCCAGGTTATGGTCTTGCTGGTTGACAAGTGACAAATGATGCTTGATGCTTGGCCTAACGCTTCTGACCCTGAGCTCCCCCAACATGGCTTGGGAGCCAGAAGAATGGCAGCCGTCGTAAGCATGTTGACGCATGGGTGAAAGGCGTCGCACGAGGATTTCACGGGCTCAACCTTCTGGCCGATTTTTCTGACACGATATATATATATATATATATATATATATATATATATATATATATATATATTCGAACTTGCATCACTAAGGTCGACGAGAACCCTTGCCTAGGAGTTCCGGGGTTATCGCAAGCTCCACGCGGGAACCTATGATTTCCGGGGTTATCGCAAGCCCCACGCGGGAACCTATGCACGCTCGCCTCAAATTCGACACAATTGCACGGTCCCCTGAAATGGGTGCTGAAGATATGCAAACCCCGACGAGTTCAGTGCGAGCGCCGCCAGTGAAGAGCTTTGCCACTCCCTGCTTTCAACCCCTCGAGCAAATACACAATTTCTGAAGTTGTGAGCTTGGCCACGTAGATTGATAAGACCCTCGCTGGAAGATGCTCCCTTCCGTTGTGTCAAACATGGCATAACCCTACGCTCTTTACCAGTGTTAGTGTGAATATTGTCATTATCTCTGTTTTTATTTTGATTGTTATGATTATTCCAAAGGCAAGCAGACGACAACAAAGTCCGTTTTCCTCGGAGGAGGTACGATCGCTCTCTTCCTGCTCGGCCAAGGATGGGAGCCTGTCAAATACACTCAAGTCATGCTGTCGGCTTGAGAATATGAAATCATCAAGGCACAAACCGCATCAAGTGCTGTATAGATATACTAGGACCTTAATATACCTTAATAGTAGCCCTATTATGTAGGGATTATATAGGGACTATATACTACCCAAAAAAGGTTAAACTGTTGATATTTGCAGAGTTGTCAGAACTCGCCGGGGGCACCATGTAGCTGGCCCGGAGGCCATCTCGCCATGCACGTTCCTCGCAAGGACCTGGGAGTCGCCACTGCTAAGCTCAGCCAACCCCTTGCAAACCTAAGCATCGGGGCCTATATAATTAGAATAGGGTTTTGGGGCCCATGATATTATATTTATATAAATTTTCCAGGGGCCTTGATAATTGGAATAGGGTTTTGGGGCCCATTGTACTATAATTATGTAAACTACAATAAGGAACCCTAACAATAATATTGGTAATTATTTAGGCCCCTATATTAAGCATCAGAACTGAGCCACCCCGCCCTGAGACCTCGAGCGTCCGGTGGCACCAATGCATCGGAGATAGAGAGCTCCTTTTCCTTCCATACTCAAACTAAAAACAGTTGTTTCGACCTCCTGTGCTCGGCGTGCCGACAGGCCTGAAGGCTGTCTGAAGCCCACAGCGCTGCGCCCAGTTTTTGGCCGCGCTGGTCCACCCAATATACGACCTTGACTCGAAGCCAGTGCTTTCAGGGTTCTTGGCAGCCGCGCTGTTTAAGAGTGTGGCATGACTGCTTGCAGGTTCACAACCTGAAGCATCAGATCCTGGCAGAGCAAGAACGAGCCACCGGGTGGGCAAGTACACTGGCATCATCGCTCGTGTATGCGTGTGAGCTGAGAAGAGGTCCTCGTGCGCCTCTATCCAGGGTAGCACACTGGCCGGGCTCGAAATGGGCAGTGAAAGATGCGGAACCTGAGAGAAATTCAGCTCAGATTCGACACTGCCGAATTCCTTTCAGCTGGAGTGTACATGTTGCGGTGGAGTTTGCTGTTGCGGGGGCATGCAAGTCCTTGCTCGGAAACCGGCCCATCCATGCAGGCACTACCGGCATACAACATCACGAAGATTCGAAACCCAACTTTGAGTGTGGAAGCCCGGATGTCTTCATATTTCCACCCACTGGTTCCTGCTTTCAGCTTGTCACCTGGAGCACCTGGCCCGGGAGACCGGGAAGTCGAACTTCGAGGCAGGTGGCCTTCGGGTTTGCCCTTCCTTTCGCCCTGTGCGTGTGCGTGGGCGGCTGCGCGTCTCCGAAGGATCTTGCGAAGAGCACAGCATTCGTAGGTTCGGACTTAAGTCTGCGAATGAGGCTCCTGCATCTTGCATGAGCACAAGATCTCTTATTATGTCTTATTCTATTCTATTCTGTTATAGTGTCTCATCTTATCTCTTGTGTAATACAAGACTGAGCCCAACACCATCAGGCGCTCGCACGAAGGACACCACCTCAATTTTGCAATCGAAAGCAAACCGGCAAAGTTTGTAGCACATTACGATCTTGCGGCATTGGCTTCGTGGAGAGATTATAGAACCGTAACCCCAAGCTAGGCCTTATAGCAGTCAGTCACCCTTATATAGGATCTGGCAACCCTTACAGTAAGCTGTATACAACCTACCTGAACCCTAAACCCTAAACCCTAAAACCCTGAACCCTAAATCCCTAAACCCTAAAACCCTAAATCCCTAACCCCTACACCCTTAACCCCCTTAAGCCCTTTCCGAAAGAGGAAACCATGCTTGGAGGGTCGCGGGACTTAGTAAGTAGGTAGTAAGTAGACTTATAAGTACCCCAAAAAGGACCCTAATTGGGGTTATGGTACTTATAAGTCCCTAAAATAACCACTTACTAAGTGTCCCTAAACCCTAAACCCTTATAGAATCCCTATAGATCCCTTCAAAGGACCCCTTTAAAGGAACCCCTTATAGTTACTAAGTTACTAAGTGTCCCGACCCTCCAAGTGGCAGCCGGCCTTAAAGTCCGTCGGCAGCTCGGTTGGCGGGCGGGCATCGTGAAACCTCTTGGAGGATCATGGGACTAAGTAGGGTTATAGGGGTCCCTTTAAGGGATCTATAGGGGTACTATAAGGGTTTAGGGTTTAGGGTCTACTTGGAGGATCACGGGACTTAGTAAGTAGGGTTATAAGTACCTTAATTGGGGTTGTAAGTAGTTATAAACTGGGGGCACAACCCTGAGGCCCCCCAAAGTAGTTCCTGTTTGGGGCTCGTATATAGAATCCTATAAGGTAATCCCAAAAAGGAACTCCTTTGGGGCCTTTAGGGTTGACTAAGCCTCTGTGCCTTGGTATGGCAGGGTGTCGTATCGTATAGTACAGTATGACATAGGATAGTAGCATAGGCTAGTATCATATAGGCTGTCTAGTAAAGTATAGCATAGTACAGTATACTATGGTAAAGTATAGTGAACTAGAGTATGGTGAGGTGAGCAGTGTCCGTGATGGCACGTCTGTATATAAGAGGATGTGTATTATGCTTTCGGCAGACAGTTCTCAGATGGGATAAATGTTAATTGCTACCCTGACGGCAGGAAGAACAACGACCAAGACCCAGCATGATGACCATCAGTCTTTGCACCGATGCTCATGTTCAACACCGTTCAGACTCTGGCTGGACCGTCGCCACAGGATCAATTGTGCGAATGCCACCTGTGCGCTGGGAGATCCCTCTGCTGTCGTGCAGTCCGACAGGAAGGGCAGGGGCCTGCACCGAGCGCATACACCAGCAGGTGGGTGGCGCCTCGAGGGACGCGCACCTTGGCGGGCTTTCGGTACCTACCTGGACCACATGAGCTGCCTGCAACGAGAGCAGCTCGTGGAACCAGCGAGTTCAGGCGGGCTTTGTTCTGCGCTGGCCAGCTGGTCAGGACTGTTCAAAATGGCACATTAGCAAGCGATCTTCGATCGCCTGCACTTTGACGCAGCAAAGCATGCATGCAGCTGCAAGATAGCCAGACCGCTTACTCTTCTGGGAATTGCAACTGCTGGCACTGCAAGCTGTGCTGCAAAAGAAAAACTGCAGCAACACAACTCAGAACGCAAACGTCGTAGACTGAGTATGGTGCTTCTGCTTGGACGTGTCTTTGCCGTCCTTTAACCTGTCCTCGTGGCTAGGGCCACTCGCCACCAGCACCACTGAGCCACAGCGATGGATGAGCTAGGCAATACAACCTGACACCAACAAGTTGTCGGATATGTTGGGTTACTGCTATACACAAACGGCCATCGACGAAGCAATGTACGTGCTTGTGTTAAGTAGTCACTTCGTCGCAAGCCGAGGCTTGGCCGGGGCAAACATAGGACAAATGGAAGTCTTGTCTTATGCATCAGCATACCCATCTTTACCAGTGCAAGTAGTGTCAGTGCCTCAGGCAGGAAGCTTATCGCAGCCGTATGACTGCAGCACGGTCTGTTCGGGAAGATGGTGCACCCCTGTCCCTGTACCAGTACTGAACTTATGCCTAGTGAGTAACCCCCGGCACATGACCACCAGTCGCAAGCCATGATACCGGAAATCATCAGAAATCCATGAATGTAGTCTGAGTCCTCCACCAAGACCGATTCAAACAGTTTGCAGGTTGCTTCGGGCTCCAACCAAGCTCCAATAGGAAATACAGGTCCAAGACGCGGAAGCACGCGGCCGGATTCCTCAATCGTTGCCAGTCGGCTCATCCTCAGCTGCGTGTACCGTCTTCCGTCAGCTTCACTTTTCATGTGCTCTTCCAGGAATCCCTCTCCTCCCTCGTCTCCTCTGCTGCCGGTAGCTCAACACTTCTGCTCATGCGTCAAATCCTAACCCTCAAGCCTTAAACCCGAAGTCCTAAAACCCTAAACCCGAAGTCCCAAAGCCAAAAACCCTAAGTCAAGACCAAGATGCTCCGAGGGCGCAATGCGGACGAGGCACAGATAGAAAAGTGTCCTGGGTCTCCCCCAGAGGAGCGCCGGACGGCTTCTTAAGACTGGGTTCTTGTTAAGGGATGTCATTTGAATTACAGAGAGGGAAACCGGGTTAAGCCCCGGCATTTCTGTTTTACGTCTCCCAAAGCCCAGAATTACCATAATAATAAGGTAAGTTACCATAATCAGGATTATGGTAACTTACAAAAATTCCATAGCAAGAACCCAGAAGAGTTCACATGGCACCTTCTCTTGTAGTTCTTCGACCCTTTTGCGCCTCGCACTTCTTAGGGTCGTCGAGGGTGAAAATCGGAATCTGGAGAACGTCTGACATTTCTTTGACGACACAGACTTGGAGGTGCAACCATGCAATGGCCAGCACTGCAACCGCAATCTGGAACATGGAGCCTATGCCGCTCGCTAGCCAGCCGGCGATCAAGGACCCGAGAATGAGCGGGCTCAGTAGCCAAGGCCTGTAAGCCTCTCCACAAACATGCGCGAGCTGAAGGTGTGACCTTTCACAGGAAACTCGCTGAAAGTCGTGCACTTTGTGACTACTTAGCACATCAACAAAGAGGGTAGAAATGCCATATTGGCCAAGTCGCACTAACATCAAAAAAGCCAACCCAAAGAACCAGAATATGCTTCTAAGACCTCCTCGTGCTTCCAGAAGGCTGGGTGAGAGCAAGCAGAACGCAACGCCTGCAACATGGGCACAGAAGGGTCCAGTGAGGGCAAGGCTTGGAAGCAGCCTCTGTGGACCAGTTACGATCGCCTTTATATTGCCCAAGACGGTACCAAGTACGCAGACCGCATAGAAGCAGATCATGGCCTGTGCCCGCGAGAGGCCGAAGGCAAAGTGGGAGCCCCATAGCTCCTCTTGGCTCCCGTGGATGTAGGTGGCCAGGTAGGATGCGCACACGATAAGGACGCCATCCGTGGGACCGTTGAACACTCCCAGATACAGACTTCCAGTAAAGTATTCCTCCCAGGTAGCAAAGAAGAACGGAGTTGTGCTCGCCGCCCAAACCCCAAAGCACTCCCAGTTTTTGCCGTCGCCCAACTGCAGAAGTGCCATGATGTTCAAAGACGACAGCACGATGTTGAGAGCATCTGCACCATGGTCCAGGAAAAGACCCAAGGGCGATGAGCTGCCTGTCCTCCTTGCCTGCTTCCCGTCCATGTTGTCCAAGGTTTGGTAAACAAAGGTGCAGATCGCTAAAACCAGCCAAACCCAGCTGGGGCAGGAGTTGCCGAAGCCGGGTGAGTACAGATGCACCAGCGCGTGCCCCAAGCATGAAATCGAAAGTCCGGCTAGGGTGATCAGGTTGGGTGCTAACCATAATGGAACGCATCGATCAACCAGTAGCTGGGCCAATGGAGAGCAGAAATAGACGTACAAGTACGAGTTGTCGCTTCCCGAATAGCAGAATTTGGGCAGCTGCCGGCGGCCTCTCTCTGAAATGTAGCTCCAAGTGCTTGGCATCTTGGCCATCAAGTAGCACGGGAAATTCGCACTTCCCTTTCGAAGCCAGTGCTCAGCGCATCGCGCATCGCTGCTCAACTAAAGGTTTTCATGATCCCGTTCAGTAATACATAAAGTTCATTCACCTAAAGCTCCGAACCGTCAGGAAGCTCAACAAAGTTGCTCTTGAACCCAAGATGTGAGACCCTGCGGAGGATTCAAGAAATCCCGGCCGGAAGTTGATGCTGCTTGATGCAAGCCCCAAACCCCTAAGCCTCCAAACGCCTACATGTGGTTGGTTGTCAAAAATAGGGTTACTTTTTGGGGTACCCTAAATATTAGGTGCCGTATTAAAAATCAGGACCCCAAAAAGTTACCACAATTTCGACAACCACCACCCATGTACTAACCCTAACCCAGGCCAGGTGCCATTCAGCCCCCTTGCCGAAGGTTTGCAGCGGTTGCGCTGCCAGGCGCCACGGCAACTCGCCCGCCAGCATCCTCCCAGTGGGTCTCAAGTCGCCTCAGATCTCACTGCGCACCCGAAAACTTAGTCTAGTATGGTATGGTATAGTATGGTCTAGTATAGTATGGTATAGTATAGTATGGTATAGTAAGTATAGTATGGTATAGTATAGTATGTTAGAGTACAGTACAGTATACTATAGTGTCTTATCGCAATAGTAAAGCATACCGAATAATAGCAGAGGTCAGCTCGTACCATGTAGGAAAATGCAAAACCGCGTAGCACCGAATTGTATAATGCAGTTTGGCACAGTCTATTACAGTGCCTACTACAAATCGTAGCAAGCTCACCGCAAGGTTCACCAAATCAGGTCATGCCCGGGCCTTCCAGCAAGCTGGCCTGATCCAAATCCGACGGATCCCCATGCCAGGCCAGCACTTCGTGGCGACCCTCCATGGAGCTCTGGCCGGTGTAGTGCTGGAGGAGACCTCTCTACATCCGGTCTCACTGAGCCTCTCAATACCCGGACCATGACATAAGTCACAAGCCACGCCTGGACTGCGAACACGCCAGACGTAGAACTCAGACTCCAACATCTCAGACCTCGTGCTGGCGCAAGGCAGAACAAACCCAACGAAGCTTGCATCGAAACTTGGAGCTGAAATGCCACCGCCTGGCTCTTGCGCTGCTGAAAAATGCAGCTCTCCAGAGCATTCTCTCGGATCTGCTGTAAGGCCATTGAGACGAGAGTCTGCTCCGTAGCAATACTGCAATAGTGCGCCTCTGATGTGAATGCCGCCTGCGACTCGTGCATCAAAGCTTCAATCCTTCGGCAAGTCGAAACATCATCGAAGCACTTGCACATGGCGGAGCAGCATGTTCAGACCATGCAAGCATTAAAAATGGCCCCGCGACTCTGCGTTGTGTCTTTCGTAGTAGGTTGCATAGAGCTGCCGCAACCAAAGAGCTTCCTGATGCCGCGGGACCTGAGTGCATTCGTCACCTTCAAAAGGGAGATATATGGAGATATCGTGTATACATACGGTACATGTATGTATATATTCTGTACATATATATATATACACATGTATGCATGTATGCCTGTCTGCATATACTCATGTGAGTGTACGTGTGTAGACAAAATGAATATATATATATATATGTATATGTGGATGCATGCCTATAAAGATACGATCGATAGATAGGTAAATTGGTAGATAGACAGACCGATAGACCGATAGAACATGTGGGCACGCGTTGCGTCTCCCGGTAGGACCCTAAATAGGAGTTTCCGAAAAGAGGGGATCCTAATATACTACCCTAAATAGTAGGACTCTTGCTATAAGGACCCCAAAATGAGGCACCCCTAATTCTCGGAACCTCCCAAAATTGAGATGGGGACCAACAGTTCCAGGTCATTGGTCTCTGGAGCCAGGCCGATGAGGTTGGACTGAACAAGATTCAAGAGCCTCAGTCCGAGTTTGGGGGATTTAGGGGTTTGGGGTTTTGGGTCTTTGGGGGTTTAGGGGCTTGGGGTTTGGGGTCTTTGGGGGTTTAGGGGTTTGGGGTTTTGGGTCTTTGGGGGTTTAGGGGCTTGGGGTTTGGGGTCTTTGGGGGTTTAGGGGCTTGGGGTTTGGGGTCTTTGGGGGTTTAGGGGCTTGGGGTTTGGGGTCTTTGGGGGTTTAGGGGCTTGGGGTTTGGGGTCTTTGGGGGTTTAGGGGTTTGGGGTTTGGGGTCTTTGGGGGTTTAGGGGTTTGGGATTTGGGGTCTTTGGGGGTTTAGGGGCTTGGGGTTTGGGGTCTTTGGGGGTTTAGGGGTTTGCGGTTTAGGGTCTTTGGGGGTTTAGGCTCTACTTTCAAAATGTGCCAGCTCTCTGAGTCTGTAGCAGCACTCCCGAACATGTTGAAAAGTTGACATCCGCGATTTTGCCCGACTAAGAATGCTACAACCAGCCGGCAGAAAAAGCCGATCGCGGCTCAGCCTGGAAACGCATGGCACTTTACGCTCCGACTGGTGCTCTACTGTATACGACGTACTACATACCGAAGTTACCGAAACTACCTACGACATACTAACCTACGAAAAACATACCAGGTCATAATGCAACGTAATATACTACCCTATAAAATCTCAAACCCATAAACTCCGAAACCCTACTTAAAACCCTAAAAACCCCACTATCCTTTTCGCTGAAGGTCGCTTGCGCTTCGGCGCCGAGAACTCTGCCATGGGCTTTGCCTGCCGGCTACTTTAAAAGGAACCCCATAGATCCCCTTAAGGGAACCCTAAACCCTAAAACCGAAAGGAACCCTAGGATACCCTTAAGGGAACCTTAAACCCTAAAACCGAAAGGAACCCTATAGATCCCCTTAAGGGAGCCCCACAAACCCCCCTTAGCCCCAAACTCAAAGCCAGGTGAAGAACCGGCTCGGAGGCACCGTTTAGGGGTTAGGACCTTCGGTTTTTATGAACCCTGAAGCCCCAAATCCCAAACCCCTACACCCTTAAAGCCATACATCCTGAGCCCGTACACCCCTAAAGACATACATCCCAAGGCCCCCAACTCCTGAATTTAAGACAGGTTCAAGCTGTATAGTAAGCTCCACTGGGTGCCTGGAAGCCAACGGAGCAGCTGGGGGCTCACCTCTCCATGCTGACGCTCCCAAATTCTGCAGAAGCTTGCCTGGCTCAGTCCTCGGCAGTTCAGAGCCACTAACAGAAGACATCGCTGGAACCATTACTGTCATTGCTCTCCGAATTACTGCTGTTGCTATTGTTTTCACTGTTATGATTATGATGCATACTTCATATGTCATTATGACATATGAAGTATGCATCATAATCATAACAGTGAAAACAATTGACATATGGAGCTTTCCCAGGCGTGCCGATTTAGCAGACGGGTCGCCTCCACGATGGAGCTCGAAGAGCTGGAACGTATGGCTGAGGACCGAAGCACTGCACTCGGGCTCGAAGGACATAAGCAAGCCGGCGAAGTCTGTCAAAGTTATCACCTCCAGGGCAAACTCCCCGAAACCCTAAACCCTAAGGTCGTATCATGTACACGGCAGCAACGGCTCACGAGAGCCCTCAGCTTCCCACTCCGTCGCGGTCGAAGTCCAGATAAGAGAACAGCTCGGCCGATGTCAGCCCAATGCTTTTCCTGAGTTGATCCGAGTTGACAGCACATGTGACCAAGGACAAGAATAACTCGATGCATGGCTGTCAACAGTTGTGTATGCACGGTGCCGACCATGATCGCCAAAACTTTGTTTGAAAGATTCTGAAAGCATCAGCAGTCCCTTCTTACCTGCTCGGAGAAACACATCTTCTCCTGCGCTTCTAGATCCAAAACCTCTGTGGCAATTCTGAGGCACATGGATTGAAACTTGAAAGCCAACTACGGGCTTGGCCTCCTCCACAGCGCGCGCGCGTGTGTGTGTGTGCCTGTGTGTGTGTGTGTGTGTGTGTGTCTGTCTGCATGTGTGCGTGTGTGGTCACGCGTGTGTGTGTGTGTGTGTGTGTGTGTGTGTGTGTGTGTGTGTTGAGCGTCTTACTATTGCAGAGCTCGACACAGTTGAATCTCGGGCTTTGTGCATAATGCCCCTTCGATGTCAAAGCGAGGGTCATGGAGTCTCGTATTCGACGCAAAATCGTGTCAGCCTTCATCTCGACAGTAGTTTCGGCCTCCTGGGCATTGCCGGGCACTTTGGCCCGCCTCGTCATCTCATCACTATACGGTACTAAGCGCTCATGACGTCATGAAAGGCGACGATCTGCTTCGGCTGCGGAATGCCAGTATTGATGCGCAGCGATGGTCAGTGCTAGACTGCAGTGACTCCCTGGCTCATCGCTTTGAGGCGACTGCGCCTGCATCTGCAGAGTTGCTGCTCCTGACCTCACAGTGCCGACATGGCAAACCATGCGCAACATGTCTCGTTCTAACTCTGCTGGAATAGATGCCTCCATCACGATGTCATCCTCATCAGCGGCAGCTTTGGCCTGCAGTGTCGGTCAGAAACAGTGCGAAGTGCAGCATTTCTTACATGTTATGCTGAGGCAGTGGCTATTCGTGAGGAGTTGACATCGCCTACAAGCCACCATCCCTGTTGCTGACCTCAGCACGTGACATGATGTCAATGCCTCGCATATTGCCACAAGATGCCACGAGTGGATTTATCAAAATTCTCTGAGCATTGCGGCGGCCCCAATGTAGCTCGAAAGACAGGGCGGGAGCTGGTGGCTCCGCCACCTGCCATGCACCGCCCGGGCCCGAAAATCTCTCTGCTCTAAAGGCATAGCCTACACGCGCGGTCTGCAGCCTTGGCACCGATTCTCATCAGTTTTGCGGAACCCAGAAGAGACATCTCAGCCGCGGCCACAAGCGGGTTCTGAGCCGAAACTATCACACTGCTGAGCCCTCTACCGGTTGAGGATCGACGTCCTCAAACAGGCATGTCAAAGAAACGACGTGATGACAGGCTGCCACAGGGATGCCTCAAAGGCCAGTGACATCTCTTCGACCGCTGGGCGCCAGCGGTCCATCCTGGTCTCAAAGCAGCTGAAACAGCTTCTTCCAAAGGCAACCGGCTCTGAATCGCTGGGAGCGGGGCACACTTGCAGCTGCAGCCTCAGCGGAAAGAACCACACCGACGAGGACTCTTGTATTTCTAGTCACCTCTCTTCAGCTCCAAAGCCCTCAACCCTACACTCTGAACCCAAACCCTACTGAACATCCGAAACACCCTACCTGGACCCTGCAGAACCTACCCTTATCTAAGGAAGGGTCCGGGTAGACCCTGCACCCTAAAATGTCTCACCCCTCTTCAACCATAAGGACCCTCAGGGGGGTAGGGGTGAGGGGGGTAGGGGGACTTAGTACCTATAAGGGAGTTTCCGCAAATCGGAGACCCTAATATAGTTTTAAATAGTAGGATCCTTATCATAGGGGCCCCAAAATAAGGTACCCCGAATTTTCGGAAACTCCCATAGCAACCCCCCCTTTAAGGGTCCCTATGATTCCACCCTTCTGTGCTCGGCGCCGGGATGCCAGAAGAGCAGAGGCCGCCTTTTCTCTCCTCCCAAGCCCAGAGACTCTAACATCTCTTAATTGGGAGTTTCCCAAAAAACAAAGGTAAACTTATGAAAAGATCCTAATAATAAGGATTCTACTATTGAGGGTGCAACAAAGACACCTTATTTAAGGATCCTAATAATGGGGATGCTACTATTTAGGGTGCTATATTAAGGGTCCCCTATATTCGGGAACTCCCAATTAGGGAATATACCTTAAATCGTATTAGGATCCCTACTATGATTTAAGGTATATTCCCTAAGTAAGGGACGTTGGAGTTTTTCGGGGGCTTTGCTACAACTTCTGCTCTTCCCCGCCCCACCTCTTCTTGAAGCAGCAAGGCTTAGGGTTTAGGGCTCATAGAGGGCTTAGAGGGTTTTGGGGCTTTGGGGCTTTTCGGGCTTTAGAGTTTAGGGTTCAAGAGTTATTCTCGTCAGTGCCCTGGACACAAAGAGTAGCTGGAGTTTGCGAACCGTGCCAGTCTGTCTGCAGAAAACTCGGCCTCTTCCACCGGAACTGTGGGCAAAGCAACCTGGGATTCCATGTGATGCGTCTACGTTGACCAGAACCCTAAACACTGTAAACCCGTACATGCCATACCGAAAAGGCAACCTGATAGAGGCCACGAGCCCGAATGCAGACACCCGTAACGCAGATATCGCATCAGAACGCGGAGTTCCCCATTCTTAGCTTGACGGATTCAGCTGCCGGAACACGCCTCCTGTGGAGTTCCCCCCCTTAGCTTGACGGATTCAAAACGCGCGCGATGCCGGAACACGCCTCCTGTGGAGTTAGCTGACGGATTCAGAACGCCGTCGAGACGCGCCGCCGCCGGGCTTGACGGATTCAGAACGCTGTCGGGACGCGCCGCCGCCGGGTTCAGCTGCCGGAACACGCCTCCTGCGGAGTTCCCCATTCTTTGACGGATTCAGCTGCCGGAACACGCCTCTTGTGCAGTTCCCGCTTAGCTTGACGGATTCAGAACACTGTCGGGACGCGCCGCCGCCGGGCTTGACGGATTCAGAACGCCGTCGGGATGCTGCCGGAACACGCGTTCTGTGCAGTTCCCCCTTAGCTTGACGGATTCACGCTGCCGGGACGCTGCCGGAACACGCGTCCTGTGGAGTTCCCCCTTGACGGATTCAGAACGCCGTCGGGACGCGCGTTCTGTGGAGTTCCCCACAACTGCCGGAACACGCGTCCTGTGGAGTTCCCCCTTAGCTTGACGGATTCAGAACGCCGTCGGGACGCATCGGGACGCGCGTCCTGTGGAGTTCCCCCTTAACAGCGCTGCGCGACACGCCTTTGTCGAGTTCCCCACAGCTGCCGGAACACGCTTTTTGTGGAGTTTTTTTTTAGCTTGACGGATTCAGAACACCGTCGGGATGCACCGCCGTCGGGCTTGACGGATTCAGAACGCCTTCGGGACACGCGTCCTGTGGAGTTCCCCCTTAACAGCGCTGCGCGACGCGCCTCGCATCACACGCGGACGCTGTGCCGTCGGGCTTGACGGATTCAGAACGCCGTCGGGACGCGCGTCCTGTATGTCCTGTGGAGTTCCCCTTTAACAGCGCTGCGCGACACGCCTCGCGTCACACGCGAGCGCTTGCGGACGCTTTGCGGACGCTTCGCGAACGCTTTAACCACGATCCCCGGTCACCTGCTGGACCCCTGGACCCCAACTTTTTCAACGGGAACCCTTCTGCAAAGCATTCGGGAAAAAATCGAAACCAGGCCGGCCGACCAAGACGAGATGGCGGGCATCTGCCGGCAGTTGGGTTCCATTCCTGAACAGCTCAGCCAGCAACTAGCACAGTCAAGTGTAGTATGGTAAAGAATCGCACAGTATAGAGTATACAGTAGAGCAGGGTGGGGTAGAGCATATAAAACTGAAGCCCACAAGGCGGCCCTAAATCTCGCGAAAGCTCTGGGCCCTCCGACGGGACCTGCAGCTGCGGCCACGGGTCCGAATCTTGCATTTCCCACCTGAGACATGACTGCAAAACCCTAAACCCCAAACCCCACGGTTTAGGGTGTAGGGCTTTGGCACCAGGATTTGACGACGCATCTTCTGGATGTAGCATGATGGTCAGACAAAGACAGCAGCTGCGTTCCGCTGGCAAAGTTCCCGGCGCAACGAGCTGGGTGTCTGAAGGACGCATCAGCTTCCAAGTTGCCTCAGACAACACGAACCTCAAACGCGATGCTCTGTCCCAGCACTCCCTCAGTCATTTACCTTTGGCTTGTAGGGAATGGAGGAATGGGGTACGATTTTAACTACTATTACTACCATTCTTCCATTCCCTACTAACCAAAGGAAAGGCCATTGTCATGCCCGTCCTCCGAAGCCTGGAGCGGTCCCGCCCAGCAGAGCGCAAATGCCTGGCAGAGACAGCACATGTTCTGGTCGTCGTGGCACTAGGCAAGACGAGGAGGCAAGTGTGGGGTCTGGCTGTGCATCTGCGAGACTACGGCAGCTGCACCATTGTCCCGGGCTGTGGTCAGATGGCAAGGCAGAAGAGCAGTGTGAAGCATCAGCCCTATCCTTGCCTTTGGATAGTAGGGAATGGAGGAATGCGGTACAATTATAACTACTACTACTACTACTACTACTACTACTACTACTACTACTACTACTACTACTACTACTACTACTACTGCCATTCTTCAATTCCCTACTAACCAAAGGTAAGTTACAGGATTATTAAGGCCCCTATACTATAGTACCCTTATAGATCCCTTATATATAGTAACCCTTATAAACCCCTTTATAAGGCCCCTTTCATTCTTCGAAGAGCTCGCTACGTCGCTGCCTCTGCCGCAAGCAGCTCTGGCCGATGCACCCACCGGAAGAGGCCACCAAGCTTGTCAGGCTGCAGGTCCTGCGCATCGAACCCTAAACCATAGATTTCCGAAAATAATACCCTAAAATGGTACCCCAAATAGTCGGATCGTTATTATAGGGCCCCTAAAATAAAGTAAACCCGAAACCCTAAACCCCAAAAACCAAGAACCCGGAATCCCTAACCTTTTCTCGCAAAGACAAGCTGACATTCGTCCGATCTGGGCTTCGTCCTCGTCAAGGAAATCTGCCCCCAACGAGTCTCCGGAGGAAGCCGCCTCCACAGCAGTGCATGCTTACCTGCCTACGTAGTTAGTGTGATGCCGGATGTCCTGCAGGGCATGGAAGGCCAGCTCCGTAAGAATGATATTTCGTGCTACATCAACAGTGTTGGGCCAGTCGCCACTGGCCTCCAGCTGCGCTGCCAGTGACGCCCCGCAACGACTCCCTCGAGCTTGGCTTAGGCCCTGCGCCAGCCGATGAGCTACGGACTTACCTTCCGTCTGGCTTCAGTGATTTATCGTAAAACACTATGAAACAAACGGCACGCCGTGCGGTACAATATAGTATAATATAACAGAACATAGCAGCACATATTACACTGGAATATCACAAAGTCGGGATATACTCCGACACAGTTGTTGAGGGGCACCGGAAACCAATGACCAGAGAAGGCATAATGTCCAGCCTGGCAGCCGCTGCAGGAAGATGTGCAGGAATCGCTTGCCGGGCAGTAGAGGCCTTTTTAGGATTCCTTTAAGGGTACTGCAGGGTTCTATAATCGAGTCCCCTTTAAGTAGGGCTCTATAG